GTTTAGACTATAGCTCATATCAACTAGGTGACCATTGACAGGTCCACACTCCAGGCCCATAAGTGGCAGGAATGGAAGCCAGTCCCTGATCTCCTTCAGGGTGGATTCCATGCAGTGACTTCAACGCAGATACCGTGAACCGTCAACCCCAATCCAGAAGAATCAGAAGAAGCCATCATGGCAGATTTGGGGCACAGGATGGAGAACGCGTCGAGCCTGGTAGACGGCTACAGACCGGATTGAGATTGTCTCTTGGCAGTGGTCACAACGGGCAAAGCTGCATCTCCAACAATGGGCGTTCCTCTTCTGGTGTATACCCACAAGAAAAAGGGACAGGGGGGCAGGCACGCTACGGGACCTTTTTGGCAAACATCCTTAAGCAAGCGTATGACATCTCTGCCAATGCCGGTGCGCAATTTCAATCTGACATGTGGGCAAAGGTACAAGCCATATCGCTTTGAGCTAACGTATGTTCGGCGAAATGATGGCCGCTTGACGGCACTTGCTTCTGAATGGTGCTTGAGATAGGTCATCGGTACCACGATAGGGGTTTGGGGATTATAGGGAATACTATAGGCATGCAATGCCCCAATTCCTGTGTAGGCACCAGTAAGTTTCAATCCTACCTCCAGAGCGCCTTAGACCCCAAAACCACACTATATGAGCTATATTCTAAACTCCTTCACAGGGGGGGTTATTTGGGGGATTATATAGGGGACTACTATGGGGATATTAAGGGGGATACTAGGAGTTTAGACTAGCTCATATGTCAAGCGAAGAGAAGCGTGCTCTGCTCTCTGAGGCAACATGCTGAGCGCATCAGCCTTCGCATTTATGAGGACTGCCTGTATGTACGTTGTCTCATGTGGGATTTGCTTATGTATAAAGATCTATGTACGGGTACAGAGCATGATGCCGTTTTCTTTTCCTTTATAAGCAGAGAACACAGACTAGTATCCGTTTTTCTGATCACACACCCTGTAAGCTGAAGTTTGATTGAAATCCAAAAGCCGATACCCTAGACCCTAAACCCTTGATTTAAATCCAAAAATCGATCTGCAGCTTACAGTCCGGAAGGACCGTGGAGACCGAAATCAGGTGGGTAGTTTCCAAAATGAGGGGTCAGGGTTTAGGGTTCAGGGTTCAGGGTTTAGGGTTTAGGGCTTAGGGTTGCACTACAGCAAGATATTTGGTGCCATTCTAGGAGTCTTACATGGGTAGAGGGTTCGCTTGTGACTTTCCTGGGGTTCGCTTGTGACTTCTCAATTTGGTTCGCTTGTGACTTCTTGTTTTTCGTCGTCGCGAAATGCAGAACTGTCGTCGTTTTCGGACTTGTGATTCCTCGACACCTTACAGTAGCGGGCTTGTGCTCCTTGTAAAATGCATAACACTTGTCGT